TTTTTTTTTTTTTTTTTTTTTTTTTTTTTCCCCTTGGTACCTACCGACGATTATTATAGTTCTTCATCTCCACTCCCCAGAAAATCGGCCCCAGAAAATAGGTCACAGCCTCTCACCTGACGAGACCAGTTAATCTTGTCTCATCTGCTCATCTCTTCCTTTTCCTCTTCCTCTCTTCTTGCTGACTTCCCACTTTTTTTTACCCCATCTATCTTCTGTCGAACACATACTCCACCTCTCGCGGAGGCTTATTGGGCCTGTTTCCTACGGTGGATGTGCTTTCCGCTCTAGATTTCCCCCACAAACGCCAAATCATGCCTCGTATCTATCCGAACGCTTAAAGGGACGAGCCTCTAAACTCGACATGGTCTCTGGGCCTGGTGCTTCGCCCGGGAATGGTATCACCGGGGGTTATACCGGCAACGACATTGGCTTTAAGATTGCCATTGCGACCCTCGCCGCCGTCACCTGGTACAATGCTATCGAACTCATCATCCTCGTCTTCGTCACCTTTAGCCAGTACCATGGCCTTTACTTCTGGAGTTTGTTCATCGCGTCCTCCGTCGGTCTTGTGCCCTACCAGGTTGGCTTCCTGCTGAAGTTCTTCAACTTGACCGACCAAACATGGCTCTCTGTCACCTTCATCACCATCGGCTGGTGGGCGATGGTCACCGGCCAGTCCCTGGTTCTCTATTCGCGACTGCATCTGGTCTTGGGCAATGCACGCATTCTCCGCCGCGTGCTTGCCATGATCATCGTAGACGCCATTATCCTGCACGTGCCCACCACTGTTTTAACATATGGATCCAACCTGGCCGGTGGCCGGGCCGCCTACATCAACGGATATAACATCATGGAGAAGATCCAGATGACCGGTTTCTGTATCCAGGAATTTATCATCTCCGGTCTGTACATCTGGGAAACAATCCGCATGCTGCGCCTGGACCCCGACCGAGGCAAACGCAAAATCATGTACCAGCTGGTCGCCATCAACCTGGTCAGTATCCTAATGGACATCGGCCTGCTGGTGGTTGAGTACAAGGACATGTACATCATGGAGACGATGATCAAAGGCGTGGTATATAGCATCAAATTGAAACTAGAATTCGCCGTGCTGGGCAAGCTGGTGCACCTCGTCCGCAGCCATGTCTGGAAGCCCGAGTCGGTCACCCGCCGCACGTCGGAGTTCCCCGATTTCGTTGACGCAACCCGGGTAACATCCGATCTCACACATGCAATACCAGCCACACGCCAGCGCACACACCCCTGGATGGACACGGACGACGTTTCAATCGCCATGTTCGAGCATTCAGGGCTTTCCCGAGACCAAGAGACCGGCCGCTCGGAAATGTCCCATTCATGGAGCGGCGAAACCCACACGAACCATCCGTATCCCGACCGAGAACTTAGTCCGGTGGACTTTACCTCCCTCCATCTGCAGAAGAGCCTCCCATCAAAATCATCAACAGATAGCCCGGGGTGACACCCCGCATTCTCCTTTTCTCTTTATCAGCTAACCCCTCCAATCCTCGCCCGTCCCTCCCAACCTGACTCTCAGCCACTGAGCTGTCTTCCTCAAACGAATGACGAGTTATGAGATCACGACGTGCAAAAGTCTCCTGATATACCGAGCACAAACACAGACAGGACGGAAGTCCACAGTGACTTCGGATGGACAGAACTACATATAGATACCCACGGGAGGAGCTCATGTACAAAGTATACAAAGCATACCCCATCGCGCCCGGCTCTCGCCATTTGGACGAGACCCCTGCCGTGTGCATACTTGCATACGGCAGGTGGGCCGACACAACGAGGCCTAACAGATAGGCCTACTAGATGAAAGCCGAATTATAATATTCATGTTCAAGTACATAATTCAATCATTACAATCACAATAAAACATTACCATATTACAAAACACACACCTCCAGTGTAAAAGAAGTTCGGGCAATTGTCGCGCCGTAGGTTTCATAAATTCAGATGTATATCAAATTTTGTTCCCCGTAATCCGACTTCTCCATACTTCTCACCTCTATGGATGTCCAGCACGTTCCGAAAGTCAATTAAAAAAAGAAGAAAAAAAAAAGCCCAGCTTGCACGGAAAATATATCCTTTGATCGTATCCTACACTCAGGCAATGCTATGAAGCTCCTTGGATTCTTGGATGCTTTAGTGTCCTGTCCGGATTGTCTGGTTTAGTTGCTCCAAGCAACACGCATATCCAAGTTACCAGATCCCTCGAAGGGCCTACCTAGGTCACACACGGCGAGTGCCGTTCAGATGCACACGCATTGGATTAGGGCTTTGTCGCTTTCTGTATTACGATCAAAGCGCTGGGGATCGGGATTCCTATGATGTTTGTTGAACCGCCACACGATAGCCTAGAGGGGTCAATATAGGCTGAGGTCTCGGCTATGTGGAACTACTCTGTACATGGTGAGTAAGAGGAACATACGCGGAAGAATGGTGCAGAGATATCTCTTTTCATGCGTGTGGCAGGTGTTTTGGTTATATACAGCCTTTTATTATACGCGCCTGAAAGGGCACTGGATTAACCACATGATCACCACCACACAGTAGACATTTCAATGTATACAGACTTTAGGAATAGTAATCAATAATTTATCATCGTTTAATCATTGTATTATTTTCTTTTATCTCTCTGTATACTTAAGTGCCTTTAGGTATACGGTGATTATTTGGTAGGATGTCTTTCGAGATACTGATAGCCAGTAGGTATAGGATACTTACTCCGGAGATGCGGATGTCTTCACTGTCTTATGGCCTCAATATTTGAGTGGCTGTGGTCCCGATGGTTAAGAGGAGGCTCTTTGGTGCGGTGAAATGGCTAAGTGGTGGTGTGCAGGGAGGGGTATATGCAGCTGCATCTGCCCTGGATTGGGTAGTAGTAGTCTGCTACGTGGATGATGTGATGTGGTCAACACAATACTTCCTCTGGATCTTTGGTCGAGTTTTTCCCTCGATTAGTTTGATGCCCCGCAGGTAACTGTGCTGGGTTCCTTGGAGGCGTGTTTAAGAGGTGCATTGACGACCCGTTTTCGGCCGAGTCCACGGGGGCGTCAAAGTTGGCATATTTCCCAGTGCTATCAGGTATGCAATGTTCCTCTTTAACCAAGATCCCGCGCTGTGAGATCGATCGTAACTGGCGCGGGACGTACAATGACATGTTGGTTATGCTAAATGCCCTATTCTAGGGAATCTACGGGGAACCGGGATTCCGAGTTAGTATAACGAAAGCTCCAGAATACAGAAGACTCTTAAAGCACGAGATGGTCGACGGACATGCCTCACAGGAGGCAGCAGAGCGAGGCCCGCAATGCTGTCATAGTCGGCTTGAGTGACCAGAAGACGATGGAGCAGTTGTCGTCCTCTGGAAAGAGGGCCCCGGATAGCCGGAAAGACGCAGCACGTCGGCGTGCTTGGAATGAGAGTGCTGGCGGTCAAGCAGCGACTCAAGGAAGCACGGGGCAGACTGGGGGTCAGGGACGAGCATGACATCAAACAATTCCATGTTTCAACTGACAGAAGGTGACCCAAAGTTAGGCGGTTCTTCTTGAGCGGCTGTGAAGGCGTCACGAAGATGGCCTTCATAAATCTCTTTATCTTTCACCTTGCCATCAAGGAATTTTTTGTATGTCCGGTGTCCAATATGGCGAGATGGTCCGTTCAAACTCCACCATCCCAGCGTCATTCAGTTTCGAGAACCTGGGTTGTATGTGCTCTAGGAAGATATTATATAAACCTTTGGGAGTTTCCAGGGCGTGAAAATACCAGAAATTCCCAGTTTCCAAGCCTTTCCTCATGATACTTGTGAGACCGGAGGTTTTATTCCCCGCCCGAGCATGAGCCTGTTCTTCCTCCTCGAAGACATTCATGAATTCGGCATGAACTTTGCTGAAAGCATCGAGATGCTCTCCATTGTATAATTGGTCCACCCCACGACTAGTGAGCCAGTAGGGCGGATGGAGCATCTCAACCGGTAGTGAACATGTCCACTCTAGATCGACGAGGGACTTAATGTTCCAGTCACTGTCGACAAAGAGGTTACTTTGATGTAGATCCGTCAAGGTCATGATAAACGGACCACGCCGGTAATCGCGGCAGGAGAAATGTGGCAGAAGAGCTCGCATAATGGTCAGTGTTGACAACTGTGCTTCACCATCGGCCTTGTCCTGTATTGAATTCGGGGCGTGGCGCAACCGACTGTCGTGATAGGATAGCAAGTCCATAAAGTAGCTATCGCTTGTTGAATATGTAAGGTCCCTGTCCATGTTGGTGGGAACAGACTCGTTCTCTAGATGGTGGAGACGGAGCGTTAGAGGGCGATTGGTATGTTTTATAAACCCCTGATTGTCGATCGTTAGAGATCCGATGCGATCAAAAGGAGACTGAGCTAAGGATAGGATAATTTGACTCAGCCCGCGAAAAAGGTTGGTACTACGCTTTTGGTCGTGGCGTAGCTTATCCCAAGATTCAGAAAGCATCATAGTATCGGTACTTCCGACGTGATCCATGATAAGATATCCGACTGTCAGGTTAACAGGGCAATTTCGACTTAAGTAAGGTAGTCGGAGCGGATACCCGAAAACAGACGATACTACACGGTGAATATACCATTTCAGTCGGCTGAAGAAGGGGGTTTGCTCAATCACGGTGAACTAGGCCAGTTTTAGATTGACTCATAAATTAATCCAGCAACTCACTCACACATGGTCCTTGCGCAAACGCAAAACCCCATAATTGAGGTATTGGTATAGAAGGACAGTTCTGCCGAATCCAGATAAAGGTTGCAGCCTCGCAGCGAAGCTTCTCGTCTGCATTTCCTGGGTATTGAATCTCCCCGACCTTGTATGGTAAAGGAAATCTAATGAGAGCCCTTTGGGTGCATTATCATTCTGCCCGTCAATGTCAACTGGTATGCACACGTTGAAGCTCCCGGCAATCCACTCTTTGACTTCCCCGACACGGCATGTCTGCTTTTTGTTTAGGTTCATGTGATACGACACGATCGACTCGATGACGGTGCGGTTCTGGTAAAGATATATATAGAACTCGAGTCGCCGTTCGGGATAGGAGAGCTCTTGGAGGACATTGTCATCGTCGGCTAGGGCTGTGGAGAAACTGATCTGTCCGTGGAGAAGCGGCAGCGCGCGCTGCATGCTGACCGGTCGGATGGTTTGAGGGCTTTATGGTGCAAAAGAATGCTAGTATAGCCCTCATGTAACGTAGAAGGGTCAAGTTCACAGGGTTATACTCCCACTCACTGGCCTATTGCCTAAGAATGCGTGGAGATGAAGAACCCAAGGAGTGAGTGGAGATAGATCTGGAGAAAGGTCAACATGCCAAGGCCGCCAATCCTCTTTGGGGTTGAAGTGGTCATCCGCTTGTGCCACCATCAACTTCGCGACTTTATCAACGGCGTCCGTGGTGGGCGCCAGTATCGCAGCGGTTAGAGACAAACCGGAGATGAAGAGGCCGCATGGGATCCAGTTGATAAACCCGACGGTCGGCATTCCCTTGCCCCAGTATATACAAATATCCCCGTGTCAGCGTCTTGCACATGAACTCTTCCGCCGCTCTAACTGTACTATCTCGATTCTGGGTGTCGGCAATGCTATCTCGACAAGTCTGGTTGCACTCCTGGCTTGTTAGGGGGGCATATGTTATGCTTGGGACTCTGACAACTCCTACGAGTGGATAGGATGGGGAAGAAGTCTCTCAATTGGCCTGATGGCCTTCCACCGCTCAATGCTGTCCTGGAGTCTGTGTCCTTGTACTGGTTTACTGACACATTTCCTCGATCTATCATCATCGGAAGGTAGCCGATGTTACTCTAGAGACGTACACGCACTCGAGAACACTCTGAGTATCTTCAGCATCCATTCTCTCTGGCAGGATGACGGCCGAGTCGTCCGGTGGCATACATTCTGGACGCAGCCCACCTTATGTTTTCGAACCAATTGCATCGGCTTCGAAGACGCCCGTAGATGCGTTTAAATGGGCGCCTCGGCCACCTATATGTTGCCTCTGTCTAACACAAGATTGTACAGCGACGATTATAACCATCGTAGGTTCACACGATCCAAGGCAATATTGATGCTATGCACGGTGACGCCAATGAAATCAACGATTGCGGTGGGTGTGTCAAATAATTCGCCGCATCCAAGGATTGGGTTTCTATGGTGAGGTTCCTGGTTAAAATGGTACGGATGTGTTGAGTTCTTCGTTAGGAAACTTTACTATTTTGTACCTTATAGAGTCACAGCGATTTGCTTCGTTGGGTCAAAATCACTTCCTCACGTAGTGTCATGCATTGAGCGAAGCAAAAACGGCTTTTAGTCGTTGGCCCCAAGTCCACTCGTGCATGTCGCCAATGGACCGGTCTGACAAAACATTGTCGAACCGACCAGTTCTATTCCTGATCCCAGAGGCCTACTGGAGAGGGGAGGACCCCAAGCTATTTAGAAAGAGTACCAGACATAGCGAGAAGAGATAGCTGGGTTTACCATGAATTCGGGCAACGTAAAATTCCAGCATCGAATCAGGTAGCCTGTGATTCTGAGAAGATTGCTGAGGCGTCGGAGACGGAGGGTGAAAGTTCACCTGTGCTGTCAGCCGATGGGAGACTGGGACTCTCAAGGCATGTTCTGATGCTATTATAGAATCACTTCTGTCACATTTCTGGCCCAGTCAGTCCTTGTCGAACACGATATTATCGCTCTTCTTGTGCGAAGCCCCTGGCGTGGGAACCCTTGCCGGGCACTGTTACTACGCACGGATCTCAGAATTAATCCAGTCTGAATGGAAAGAAAACAACAAACATAAGGACCATAATACTGCAGAATTATAAGTGTCAAATGGTGGACACACCGAAAAGACTTGTAAGAAGGGGTTCATTAAGCTCTCTTGGTCTTTTAGCCCATGTAGAAAGTACCGATATCGCTGGAGTAGGAGCTTGACCTTCTTCCCATCGTGGTATACAGTTACCTCATACTGCCTCTCTACGTGAGGATTACCTTGATAAGAGTCTTGCCAAGAGTCCGTCTTGAGATATTCTTCTTTCACAGAGTCAAATTCATTAAACCGCCGTCTGAGGATATTGATGCCGAAGATGACTGAACGTAGATTAGTGTCAATTGCCAAGTTTGGTCAATAGCGCTAGTGGTCTGACGATTCGTCCTGCTCGATGTCTGGACAAATGACTCCAGATCGCCCGTACCAAACTCGGGAAAGCAGAGATTCCACAGCAACTTATGAACTGCGCTTCTTGAAAGACAGATCCTCGAAGATACGCTGGCTCCGAGCACTAGTTATGATGGCCAATACTAAGCTTCCTGCCCTAAGGCTTGGATAGAGTATGTTAACGTCTTGTCCGTTTCCCATGAACCATCGGCGGCCTCGCTTCTGTGGTCAAGCGCAGAGTCCCTCAATTAATTATATTCTATATAAGATCTTTGGAGGATTTATAGTAATCTAGAAAACTCAGGTAAACTAGTTATCTATCAGATATTATATATAAATGGTTTATTTATATGCGAAACCATCCTTTGTTTCATGGAAGGTGCACACCAGTCAAACAACAACCCTCACTCCACCTTGCTGTAACTCGTCTATATTGCGATCTGTCCGCAATTCTTTCCGCGGTAACAAAAGCTAGTTACCTACATAAAGCTGCGAAGGTGTTCCGGATGCTCATGTCATTCGTGCGTCGTTAGGCTTTGCATTATTATACAGTGGTAGTACCAGCAGACAGACACCACCGCCACCATTAGAGTATTCCATGGTAGTTCCGTCATATAGGCTTGCTAGGAATATATTCACCATTCATATTAAGTATTTTGGCTAAATCATGACCGCTTCGTCTCACCGTTTCCACCTTCCAGCAAAACGCAAACTTTCATTCATTCACAACCCGATGGTACACTGTTATTTCTACTATGAAGTTGGGGCCAGCACCGCGCGCCTGGGTTGCAGTAACCAGGAATCTTGTGTTCTGGGGAGAGCACAAAAAAGTGTATTGAGCGTTTGCACTTGGATTGACATCTGATAGGGAGGACCCTTTGTGGCAGTCGAGAGTCCGCTGTTTATGATGCTACTATGTATCATATCGCATCCGCAGGTAATCACTGTGTCGCCGAGTTTATATACTTAATTCCGCAATAAGATGGGCCCCGGAAGAAACCACCACAGAAGCAGATAGCGAAGACATTGTTTAAATAGTCACAAAATGATCTCTAGAGATTTAATTTAGAACAAGCCCTTACTTATGTATACTACATAGTACGCAGAGAAAGGTAGATATTTTCCTTAGATATATGGCAGATGTAGTTATGTATAGGCTTTTGCCTTAGCTGTACCCTGTTTTATATTAAAAAAATAAAAGAACAAAAAAGTTGTCTCCCCCGAGCCGGAATCGAGCCAGCGACCTTTTGATTACAAAGGAAATTCCATTACAGTCAAACGTGATATCCAACTACACCATCAGGGGTTTCGACGTGCTGGTTATACAGATATAATGTTTGAAATCGCTTAAATTACTCGATTTCCCTCATCCCTACGCCTGATCCTCCGCTCAAAGAGCTAAAATGAAATCGCCTCTATCGCTGTATTTTTATTATTCTAGGGAACACGTTAATACATTAGCATATCTTTTAACTAGAATATTAGCAAAAGGTATATAGAGGGCTTAGCCAATTCCCTTGAATACTGCTGTCTTATAACACACATTTCCTGGAAACCACTACTTTAAGATATCACCTCTTTCTAATACACGCTAGAAGTCTACCTATCTAGGAATCTACCTATCTGGATGCCTTACCAACGCATGTTTCCACTGCAAAATCCCATATTTTAGCACGATATTTATCGACACGTCCAGTAGACTGCACCCTTTCTACCTCGTAGTCAATTTTCAGACTTTTAAACTATTAAATCAACCTTATAATTGGTAGTATAAGGCCTGGGAAAGAGGAAAAGTAGTCTACAATAATCACCGCTATTTCAGACCCTTTGTTACATCTACAATATATATAAAGCCTATTTATGACACAATTGTTAATGAGAGCTGCTTAGTACTATTAAATGGCTGTTGACGACCTGAGAAGAGCTCCTGAATAGGGGCTGTATTCGGGTATAATGCATTTCTCTCTCTCTCTCTATATATCCGTACACCATAGGACCTGGGGATATTACGCAGTGTAAAGTATATTTAGTTCAGATTGAGTCTCGCTGGCAAAGTGCCTGCATAGTTAGATATTCAATTAATTAGGCCCCACAAGTTAATAGAAACTTGATTGATTGATGGTTGATTGAAGCCATAGGAACTTCTTGACGATGTACTTGCATTGACAGAGCAAGTTTGGACCGATCGCAGATGACCTCGTAGCGTCTAATGATGGATCTGGAGCATATACAAGCCCATGCTGGACAAAGGGAGATATACAGTGGTAGAAGCACACATCAGTTGATATAACCATATCCATACTGCTCTAACCGAATAATACTCTAGAATATATCCCAGAGCTCCATAATACAACACCATCCCCTACCAATCAGCAAAGGCAAAACACACCAACCCAACATCATACTTTAGCGAATCCATGAAGCAGCATGCATGCATTAGCATATATCATCCTTCTGCAAGTTGCCCGAAGGGGCGAGTGTCAAGCTTACACCATCGGTTCTAGACAGGGAAGAGTTTTTGTTGGTCGGACAAGAACACAGGAACCAGTACTTTTTATTCTCCCAGCTTTGCGATGGAACTGTGATTCCGACCCCGCAAATGATGGCATAGTGAGAGTGTCTTGGGGATGGAATTTACACCAGTTCTGGTTGGTTTCGCTTTGAGTTCTAGGGTTCGACTAAGGTTGGGAGGGTATGGTTTAGCTTGTTGCACTAGCACTTGTGATTGACTCGTGTTGATCGCGCAGTGGATATTCTTTTCTTACAGCGTACTACTGTGGTTCTTTGTTTTCCGATATTGCTTGTTGGCGAGATAGATGGTTCTTTTTGATCTGATGGAGTTGATACGGTAGGAATGTATGAGCGTGGGGATATACTAGTATATACGAACTTCGTGAGAATAAACCTACTTACCTGGTGCCATCCTTAGCAAAGAACAAACACAACTAATCATCATATATCATCTCAACCTCAACCAGCCATCAACCCATACTACCCAAGTTCAAAGTCATTCCTCCATCCACAAGAAATCATGACTAACAGATGCGGGGCTCTCCAACTCTTGCCCCCCCACCCTAAAGGCCCCCCGGCAACAATACTTCAAACCTCATTGGCGGGAAGGCATCCACACCCCTCCTTCGACCTCAGGAAACAAACTTCAACCCGAAGCGGAATAGACCATGACTCGATTTACTGCTGAAAGTGGGTAGGTGGTGTCATGGATTAGGTAGTGCACGACGTAAGTGGTTACTCAGCCTTTCTCTTTCCAATTCCATTTCTTGCCAACCTTCCTTTTCGGGTCTTTGAGGCTAAACTATTATTAGACTTTTTATGTTCGGTTATGTACTGTTATACTCACGGCATGTATGTGCGGATGTACATCGAGGCTTGGATGGTGTTTGGGGTATATTTAGAGATTTGGATCGATGGTGACGTTGCGTGGTGTGTCTATAGGGGAGGGGGTAGTATTGACACAGCCATGGTTTTGTGATAGTATTATTAGATTTGCGAAGGAAGGTGGAAGGGAGGGTGGTGGTTTAGAAAAGCAATTAACATGAAGGATGATGATTGCATTAACCCTTACACATCAGGAGATCTGGACTGGTGTTGGCCAGGTACAGTACATGGTACACCCAGTTCCCCCCGTCTAGTATGCTGCCTAGTCTGGGTCGATTCTACCTAAACTTAAGTACATACCCCAGATCATGAAGGGAGGTAAAAAGGGGGGGAAGCAGAAAGACTTTTTTTTCTCAGGTGGACTTTCATAAATTAACGATACGATTAGCCGATCCAAAAGTTAATAGGGTAAGGTTGCAGGTGACCTTGTGTAAGAAGATGCATCGAAGACATGGATATGTACCTTATGATCGAGAGTTGCCATGTGCCGAGAATATTTATTTAGGTGGTCTTTTCTTTCCCTTCACCCTTTCATT